TGCCAAAGAAGCTCTAGTACTCATCTAGCGAATTTTTGGGGTCTTCTAAGCACGGGATCATATGATCTTCAAACAGTGATAATTTCACTTCTTACTTTTATATTTTTATTGCTTCTTTTCCCTTCTATTGCCCAATCTGTCTGGGTAGAATTTCTACTACTACATCAAATGGGAATAGTGAGAATGGGCATCCTTCTCTTTTTCCAGGAATGCTTTCAGGTTTACACATTCACTATCATGATTACTTTAGTTTGTCATAGATGGCCTTTACCATGCTGATGTAAGTTCCTTCTATTCCTATTTTCTTTTGATCATGCATGGGTGCTGAATCTTGTCAAAAGCTTTCCATGTATAGAGATAACTAAGTAATTTTTATCCTTATGTAGGTCAAAATGATATCAGTTGCCTGAATTGGTTTTCTGGAACTTGGAGGTAGCTCAAATATTTTGAAACAAACACCTTTCACTCAGCCTTGCACAGTGTGTGAGCGGAGCCCCATCTGCTAGTATGGCACCACTTGAAAATTCACTAAGAAATTCATGTTTCCTAAAGTGAGCAGGTTGGGCATATGATTGGATAGCTGAAATAGAAAATATTCCAAACATATAGAACATGGGGGACATTCTTCCTCTATACTTCCTCTGGCAAGCACAGCCTTCTGACTGCAGCTGGCACTGCCCTCAGAGGTGGGGAGAGAAGCCCACAGAAGGCAGGAACTTCCCTGTCTGTCCCTGAGTTCTGTGATTTTTCTTCCTCTTCTCCCTTGTTCTCTTTGTTGTCAAGTATTGCTCACAGATTTCAAGTGATTAACAGGAGGCCCTTATAAAATAACCTCTTAACAACCTTTGAGCCTGCTTTCAGGAAAAGGCTAGTGGTAAATTCCAGGCAAGAAAGAACCAGCAAAGTTAGCTGCCCTTCCCTCTCTAACCAATGGATGGGAATATACTGGCCCAATCCACAAAGCTTTTAATCAGAGCCAGGCAAGGGCTGGAAATAGGGTAAGAGAAGTGAGGCACCTGAGATAAATATTTGAGCAAATGCTCTCAGGTTCCCTTGTCCCTCTGCTGACTCTCTTACCTCTTCTTAGTCCTACCTCAGTAGACCTGGTTCATAGGATTCTCCTGATGTTCCCTGGGGAGGTCTAGGTGAATTCCCTTTTCTTCAAAGCATCATAAAAAGGTCAGAATTTTTCAAGTAGATTTACATTAGGAAACTGACATGGAAAGAAAGAGATAAAGAAAGGAAGGGAGGGAGAGGAAGAGGGAGGGGGAGAGGGGGGGCAAGAGAGAGAGAGAGAGAGAGAGGAAAGAAAGAAAGAAAGAAAGAAAGAAAGAAAGAAAGAAAGAAAGAAAGAGACAGGTACACCTAGTGAAAACTGCTTACAAGGAAACAAGTCGTAAGACATGTTAAACATAAGCCTTTCTGAGAAGTGAGTTGAAAATTGTAAAAGAAACTGAAAGTCCATTTTCAGTTATGGGAATGAGCCAGCATTTGAGGACACAGACAGATTGTGTAATGGTGGGGTTTCCAAATTCATCAATTGATACAGCCCTTACTGAGATTCTACCATGTACAGCAAGTGTGCTCTCACTGTGAAGAAATCTAAAGGTATCAGACACAGATTATCTCCTGTGAACTCCTAGCACAGCAACAGAGAACACAGGCACCAACAAAAGCCTCAGCACAAGGGGTGAAGACAGTTCCCCCTTGAGCTGTGTAGAAGCAATGTGGAATTTCCCCTCAGCCCTTTTGAGGACACTGGGATGAAACAAAGATTAAATAGGAGAAAAGGCATATGGGTTGATTATGATGTAAATTAGGAAAACCACAGCATAGGAAACAATCACAAAGTATGGTTACCCACCTGTTTAATGTAAAGCACAAACTTACATATCCCTTTTTCTATTGGGGGGGTGGGTGGGACAGGTAGATATTTTGGAGGGCTTATAAATTAGTATTACTTGAGAAGGTGGTCTCCAAGATGGTCTCTTAGAATTTCGAATGAGCCCAAAGGACAGAATCTTGTAAGGCAAGTCCATTCAAATGTAGTTGTATTCTCAGGTCCTCTTTTTCACATAGATAATGGGATTTCAGGGTGGAAGTGAGGCAATCATTCCTTTTGCAGCCTGGTCCTAATGCATATAAGAAGAATTCCAGAGAGGGTTTCTCCTTTTACTTGAAATTACTCTTAATGGAAAATCTTTGAAGAATCACATTTCCTAAGTCCCAACAAATCTAAGATGTTGGCAGTCACAGGAAAAGTGTCATAGATTTAAATTAAACTCTTAGAATATTATAGCAGGAGAGAGCCTCCCCAGTACTTCCTCTTCTGACAATTGATCTTCAACGTCAACTCTGTGCTGGGGAGAAAAGAATTCATATTTGAACATGTACTTCAGAACAAGGACTAGGTGAAAGTCACCAATGTCATCTCTTTTTGTCCTCAAGACTGTTATTGAGTTAGATAATAGTACTGCCAGTAGCAAATTCATCCAAAAGCAACCATTTAGGAATTGCTTAGTAGTTGCTTCTCACTACTTCAGTTGCTCTTTTACTACAGACAAGTAATGTAGGGAAGCTTTAAATTTACTCTTTTTTAATCCATTCATCTATTGAAGGACATCTAAGTTGGTTCCACAGTCTAGCTATTGTGAATTGTGCTGCTATGAACATCGATGTAGCAGTATCCCTATAGTACGCTCTTTTAAGGTTTTCAGGGAATAGTCCGAGAAGGGATGAATGGATTTAAAAAATGTGGCATTTATATACAATGGAGTATTACTCAGCACTAAAAAATGACAAAATCATGGAATTTGCAAGGAAATGGATGGCTTTAGAGCAGATTATGCTAAGTGAAGCTAGCCAATCCCTAAAACACAAATGCCAAATGTCTTCTTTGATATAAGGAGAGCAACTAAAAACAGAGCAGGGAGGAAGAGCATGAGAAAAAGATTAACATTAAACAGGGACAAGAGGTGGGAGGGAAATGAGAGAGAAGGGAAATTGCATGGAAATGGAAGGAAACCCTCATTGTTATACAAAATTACATATAAGAGGATGTGAGGGGAAAGGGGAAAAAAAACAAGAGAGAGAAATGAATTACAGTAGATGGGGTAGAGAGAGAAGATGGGAGGGGAGGGGAGGGGGGATAGTAGAGGATAGGAAAGGTAGCAGAATACAACAGTCGCTAGTATGGCAATATGTAAAAACGTGGATGTGTAACCGATGTGATTCTGCAATCTGTATACGGGGTAAACATGGGAGTTCATATCCCACTTGAATCAAATGTATGAAATATGATATGTCAAGAGCTTTGTAATGTTTTGAACAACCAATAAAAAATTTTCACTCTTTTTCCTCCACAGATTTAAATAAGTCAGAAAAATAAACTCACAACATACGTACTGTGAGAGAAAAAAATGCCTACAAATTATTAATGTGCTTAAGCATGAAATTCATACCAAAGTATGAGACTCAAAGAGGGAAAGATGACGTGAACTTCATGGAGAGCTGAACAAGGGTATAGGTGCTGGACTTCTGGGAGGGGGAGTGTCACAGGCACTGGAAAGGCAGGGAAGGAGGAGCACAGTGTTGTCTTTCATGCAGGTGAATTTTCCAGGTAGCAGTCACCATTGGTAGCCTCTGTCTGGGCCTGGTGTCAGACTCCCAATCTCCTTTTCTTGCAAAAAAGGTCTTTTGTAGATAGAAAGAGGGTATCAGATAGAAAAGCCTCTGCCTGAGTCCACAGTGTAGTTTACTAGGGCAGGTACATGTAGAATACTTTTTACAAAAGGAAAGGTTTTCAGATGCCTTCCTTTGTGTAAGAGATCAGCAGTCTCTGGATAACCAATTCAAACTATGCCAAAGAAATACATTTACAGTAAGATATTTTGATTTCCCTCACTAGTAACACTTGGATCTTGGGCTAAAACTTTGACTAATACTAAAACTCTCCCTCTTTCAAAAGTGCTCCTATGAAAAGGGAGATCAGTCTTACTGGTAAGACACTGTGTCAGCCCCTTTATATCCCCTGTGTTCCTCACGCCAGTTTGTCACAGGAAAGCAGGGAGATGAAACTCCAAACCTGGGTTCGTGTGTTCCAATGACAGAAGATTTAAAGTCAGACACCAAAAGTCCCTCAGGAGAATTTTATTAGACGTGAAAGTAAAGTAAAAGAAAAGTGAGGCTTAAGTAAAAAATTCTCTTAAGGGAGAGAATGAGCCGTCTCCAAGCAGAGAATGACAAAGAGAAAATGTTGTCCCCAATTTTATCACTGTTTGATGTTTACCAGGAGATCTAGGGACCACCTTCTGTTCTCTTTGCCAATCAGGTGTTCAACTCCTGGGCAATACAGTATTTGACCTTAGTTGGTCCTCTCTGAAACTGTCATGGTGGCCATCCTATTTAGGGGGGCTTCATCTACAAGTCAATCCCATGTTAATGCGGGTGCCAGGAAAAATAGCTGATCAGAAGTTACCTTAGTGCACCTGCATTACTAAAGGAAACTGTCTTCCCAGACAATTGGAGTCACTTAGAGCCATAATTCCTAGCTTTATGTCAGCATCAATAGACCCTGTCAAGAGTTAGTCCCATTAATCCTTTTCACTTGACATATTTCCCAATTAGCTCCTTTTGCTTCTGTTTATTTTATACAAATTAACTACCACCTTTTGCTTTCTTGTTTATTCTGGAAGTAGTTTAAGAAGACCCTAAAGGAATTTAAAGAATGCTTGTGACCTTGCCTGCATTTCACTGCTCATTGTTAGCTACTATCTAACAAATTCATTGGAATAGCCATTATCATCCCCACAAACACAAGCAGAAACTAGCTCAAATATGAAAGTTTCTTTTTCAATCATCACACATTGCTTGAACATCGATATATTTCATTCTCTTTGCGTAAGACTAAGGATATCACATGCATTAGAGACAACCTCCCACAACAGGAAGGAAACTGGGAGGTGCCTTGACCTGATATGAAGTTCAGTCCCCTCTCCCAGGAAAGAAGCCAGAACTGAATGCATCTGTGACTCCTCAGCGTCCCACACTTGGAGAAGAAAACAGCTCTCAACAGTGCACTTTTTTCCTGGAGCAACATGAAGACAGACTGTTGGCCTTAAGGAGACAAGTAGGTGAAAAACAAGTTGAACAATGGGGTAGACAGAGAGATACAACAGAACCAGACTTGATGATTCTGAAATCCAGATGGGAAACTGCAGTTGGAGTTCCTCAAGTAGGTTTCCAGATCTGAGGGCAATAATGGTTTCTGCTTCTGCTCCCTGGGCTCCTGGTTGTGCCCTGTGAGTCACCCTTTCTTTTTCATGAAAAATAGTAAATATTCAGAGTTGACAGTTTTGTCATTTGCTTCCTATCAGTAGAATTTGGAGGTGGGATGATAGGCTATAACAGACGCTTTTCATTTTGTACTCATTGTGTCTCAGTTCAAGCTGGCAGGCTCTCTGTTGTACTAATGATATGTGTCTTGGAGATCAGAAACAGGTCCTTGTTCCCTGGTGTTGAAGATTAAACATTCAAGAAATGCAGAGGCAAGTGTAGAAAGCCAGTTTGGGTTAAGAAAGTGATAGAGATAGACTTTTCCTAAGAGAAGGGGCTCCTCAGCTGGGTGTACATCTTGTTCTCCTATACACCTCAGAACCCCCTTTTATTCATTGTCTTCTCTTTCCTCTTCATATATGTTCCTGGAAGCAGGGAATTGTGGGTTAGTTGTTAACAACCAGAGTGTCTGGAGCATGATTACAGAGGTTACAACCCATTGTTCTCTGTTTGACAAACAGCCCTCATCCTGGTTATTCATTACCTACACTGATGGCCTGACCTTTGCCCCCTGCCTCACTTTGCTAAGGAATGTGACATATACTGTCCACTCAGACTATGAGGGGCTACAGGCATATTGCTTTTGGCAAAGAAAGCATGTATATGAAGAGGGTCATCACTGTGGGCCAATTGTATACAATTATTCTCTTAACCAGGTGTTTCCATCATTCTCATCTATCTGTCCTCTTACACTAATATTCTCAAGAACTTGTGATATATTTCATTGGGGCCTTAGTCCATTGGACACAAGCCACATCCATAGATGACTTTCAGATAAACTACTGTCCTATACATTTGTCTGATGCTAGTTTTTGTAAAGAATGGTGTCCTAAAGCTTTCTCCAGAACTTCTGTCTTGATTCATACCCGTGTACCAAACTCATTCTCTTGAAAGTGTTCTTTGTGTACCAGATTACTCTGGTGTTTTGATATTTTTTAACATTTTAGTGAAAGATCATCATATCATACCTGTTACCAAAATTTCAGATCTTGTCCCTGATGACAATTAAACAATGAAGTCATGGTTTTGAGACAAAGGATAAAGAACATTTTTGCCTTCTTCCTATTTTTAAAATTGCCAGACTTCTTGTCTTACAGTTTAATTAGCAGAGACCAGAAAAGTTAATACTTATAAACATTCACAGATTAGATCATATAAGTAAGAATAATATTCATTGTTGCTGTTCTTGATATATTTCCAGTCAGGCAAATATCTCTGTAAATATAAGAAAAGAGGAAATCTCCAGTTTTTAAGAATCTATTTCAAGAGATTTTTCTTTACAACTTACATTTAAATACAACACTGCAATTTTATTATACATCATGAAAAAGCAGGCCTTATGAATTCTTATGGTATACTAAGAAAACAATGATGAAAAACCGTGAGCAGAATTTTTGCATAATGATAATGGAGGAAGTGTCCATTAAATATTTTCTACATTTCCTATGTAATTCAGAAAGTAAGTTGATTTTTATTTTTTTTTATTTTTTTAAGTCAACACTTCTATCTTTATTTTTTTATTTTTATTTTTTTTTAATTTTTTTATTGGATGTTCAAAACATTACAAAGCTCTTGACATATCATATTTCATACATTAGATTCAAGTGGGTTATGAACTCCCATTTTTACCCCAAATACAGATTGCAGAATCACATCGGTTACACATCCACATTTTTACATAATGCCATATTAGTAACTGTTGTATTCTGCTACCTTTCCTATCCTCTACTATCCCCCCTCCCCTTCCCTCCCATCTTCTCTCTCTACCCCATCTACTGTAATTCATTTCTCTCCTTGTTTTTTTCCCATTCCCCTCACAACCTCTTATATGTAATTTTGTGTAACAATGAGGGTCTCTTTCCATTTCCATGCAATTTCCCTTTTCTCTCCCTTTCCCTCCCACCTCATGTCTCTGTTTAATGTTAATCTTTTCCTCCTGCTCTTCCTCCCTGCTCTGTTTTTAGTTGCTCTCATTATATCAAAAAAGACATTTGGCATTTGTTTTTTAGGGATTGGCTAGCTTCACTTAGCATAATCTGCTCTAATGCCATCCATTTCCCTGCAAATTCCATGATTTTTTCATTTTTTAGTGCAGAGTAATACTCCATTGTGTATAAATGCCACTTTTTTTTTATCCATTCATCTATTGAAGGGCATCTAGGTTGGTTCCACAGTCTAGCTATTTTTCCCTAGAAAGAAATATTCCTTCACAGCTGATGATTAACTTTAGAGAACTCCACAAGGAAAAGAACAATCATCACAGCTACCATCTTATTTTCCCTCTCTGCCCCACATTGCTAAATGCCTTTTAGTCAAAGCTCAAAGCTGGGTATGGTTTCCTGAATCATTGGTTCTTTTTCTTCTCCGAGAAAAAAAAAATGTGTTACAAAATTCCCTTAGTTTATTCCGGAATACAGCTAGAATTCTTTCAAAGGAACTTCAACTAGAAAACAGGGAAAGAAACTGCAGAAGCCTGGAGACAGAAAAGTTTGCAGAACACACTCTCTCATTCTTAAACATGCTCACTCTTTGCCAGAAACTGTTTTCTGTCTTCAAAACTGAAAGTTGAAGTATCTGTGGTCCCTGAGATCATAGTCAGTGGTCCAAGGGAAGCAGATAAGACCATGAAGGTTCCATTCCATGCGTGTAGTAAATGTCTAACAACTCTCAGGAGAAGAAACTCCTGGTTTGGAATTCTGTCACTGGTGGGGATCCAACCCAGGGCCTTGTGCATGCTAGGTAAGTACTCTACCACTGAGCTGTACTCTCCACCCATAATTCCTAGTTATAGCATTTACTCATTTTCATTACGTAAAGTAGCCAACTGAAAATTACCCATTCCAACTACAGAAGAAAGTTGAGAACTTACAGGATAATTCTGATAAATCACCATTTTTAAAACCCTTTTAAATGCCTAGGCTTTCATTTTCCAGGAGAAACTTTCAGTTGTGAAGAGATGCATGGTAACACATCATTATGTAGCATGCCCTCTGTACATATATGATGGCTAAACGTGGACCCTTGAGTATAAATAATAGTACAATATAATACAATAATTTCAGTTTGACTACCTTTTGATTTTAATACCCTTTATTTAATTGGAAATGTACATGATTTCTGTTTTATTAAGGTGAATTTTACATAATATCAAATTAGCCATTTTAAATATTACAGTTCACTAGCATTTGGTACATCCACAATGTTATAGAACAAGCACCTCTTTCAAGTTTCAAACTAGTTTCGTTATCCCAAAAGACAACTCCAAGCCCATTAAGCAATTGCTTCTCCATTGTCTTTCACACTTCCCATAGATCTTGGCAGCCACCAATCTGCCCTCAGTCATTATGGATTTATATATTTTTAATATTTCTTATAAAGGGAATGATACAATATTTCACTTTTTCTGTATGGTTCCTTTCACTTATAATAACATTTTCAAGGTTCTTCCACACAATGTGGCTACATCAGAACATTCTTTTATGGTTGATTTTGTTTCATTGCATGAATGTACCACATCTTTTTTATTCATTACTTAATGAGCACTTGGATAATATTCATCCTTTTGGCTACTATGAATTGTACCACTGTGGACACTTGTGTATAAGTATTTATTTATTTTCAATTTGGGAGGTTTACACCTCTCATTAGATTTCCTAGGCCATATCATAATTTACTATTAATCTTTTTAAAGAAACTACAGAACTGCTTTTTATGACAGCTGCACCATTCCACCTTTCCACCAATAATTCACTTTCTGCATGCCCTCTCCAGCATTTGTTAGTCCTTTGTTGTTAAACCTATCCTAGTGGATGTGAAATATCTAGTGTGGTATTAATTTGCATTTTCCCAATGACTAATCATATTATACATCTTTCAATGTGCTTTTTGGCCATTTGTAAATTTTCTTAGGAGAAATATCTATGCAATCATATGCCCATCTTTAAATTGGGTTCCCTGTCTTTATGGTAATGAGTTGTAAGAGTTTATTTTATATTCATTGCATTAAACCAATATTGGATATATATCAGGCAAATATATTCTTCCATCCTTTGGATTGACTTTTCATTTTTTTTTTTTTGATCATGTACTTTGAAGCACAAGGTTTTTTAATTTTGAAGAGTCCTCTTCCTATCTCTCACCACCCCACCCCCTCTCTTTCTGTCTTGGCTTTTGGTGTCATGTAAGAATCTACTGTTGAATCCAAGATCATAAAGATTTACCCTTGTTTTCTTGAAAGGGTTTTATGTTTTTACCTCTTATATTTATGTCTTTGATACATTTGGAGTTAATTTTTGTATCTTGTGATGTAGGGCTCTGACTTCTTTTTTTTTTTTTTTTGCATGTGGATATTTTCTTTACATAAAGCTAAATTTTGTTTGTGTCAGTTTTCTCCATTGTCTTTCTAATGTTTACTATTTTCTTCCTTCTGTGGTCTTTGAGTTCAGTTTACTCTTTGGTTTCTATTTCCTTTTTTTAAGTATTTTGTCACAATTTATTGATGTGATATGATAATTAGAATTGAAATTATAACTGAATTCCATCACTATATGAGGACCTAAAATTCATCGACTTATTCATGTTAATACTGAGAGTAATTTGCTCCCAAAATATCCTGGTGAGAAGAAAATTGCCTTATGTCTTTGAGGGGTCATAATAGTTTCACAGTGTCTACAGTAAACCCATTGCAGGACATAACAGATAATTGAAAACAAAAGCTGAATACATTAAGTCTGTTGGTATCAAGGTTAAAGTAGTAGAATAAAGTATTCAGGTTAAGTGATGCTATTAGCACAGGGCCTTCACATGTGGTACATCTACCACATTAATACTTAATATGGCACTTACTTATGCTTTCCCTATAAAGCTTCCAATCTCACTTGCAATTTAAATATATTTTTT